TAGCCACTGCAAGGCTTAAACCCACGCAAGATCTAGGCACGGGTGAAATTCTCCCATGACTAAACTTAGCTGCCATCCAGCCAGATTCGCTCACGGCAGAGCCCGGTCTTGCTGTCTGCAGCATCCCTGTGACGCCCGTTTGGAGCTTCTCCACAGAGTCTCTGTTCCTTCCCGGCCTGGTTGGCGTTACTGAGCCCGGCACATTTAAGTCGTGAAAATCAGATTTCATCTATCAGAAAACCAGGTTGGGTTTTGTTTCTGAGACACCTTAGATGAGTCGCCGTGAGGGCTGAGACTTCCGGGGGCTCCCTGGCGCCTAGGAACACACTCTCCTGTGTGGACACCCGCGCTTGTGGGCTGCCCCTCGAGGGCTCGCTCTCCCATGCTCGCCTGGGCCTGGAGCAGCTGCTCCCCCAGAGCTGGTGCGGCCACAGCATGTGCCTCCTCCCCTGGTGACCCATGCTGAGGGTGGGAGAATGCCCCTGACACCAGCCATACATGCACAAGGCGGCACAGAAGCGAGGGGCTGCCTGTTGGGGGCCGCGAAGACCATGCCCTGGTTCCCTGAGAAAGCTCGTTAACCCTCTGCGGCCTCCCTGCCACCCCCGTCCCGCCCCGCAGCCTGATTGGGAGGGATGACCCACTGCAGCGGGCGACATCAGGGCCTCCCGGAGAGCCAGGCCCGGGGCCTCTCGCACCAGCTGCGCCTGCTCCGACAAGCTCAGGCTGCTCCTGGCAGTGAGCTTGGCCGGAGGGGCTGCAGCAGGTCTCCTCGGGCGTGCTGTGTGGGTCGGGGCCATTTTGTGTAGGCGTTGGTGGGGACTTGGGGCTCCCGCCCCCTCAGGGCCCATGTTCGGGAGGCGGCACACAGAGGCTGCGGCCCAGACTCGGGCGTCAGGGCACCTTGTTCCAAAGCCCAAGAAAGGTGCTCCTGGAAGTGGATCCTGGGCAACATGCGTGCCCAGTACTGGGGCTCCAGGAGACCAGTGGGCACTCCACGGGCTCCCTGCTGGCCAGCTCCAGCCACGTCCACTCCTGAGCCCCTTCAGGTCTGCAGCAGCAGGGGGCTGACCCTGTGGCTCACAGCCTGCAACCAGCCCTGCTCCTTCCCGGTGGCTTCTGGAACTGCCTCATCTCTGTTTGAGTGCTGGAATAGTCAGGGCCTTGGGACCCAAGTGCCCATCTCCTCTCTGCTTCACCCCCAGCCCTACGTGCCCCTACAGGCACCCCCCCCCCCCCGTGATCTCCCCAACTGCCGTGGCAAAGGGCCCAGCCCTCCCTTCCCTACTCCCCTGCCCTCCCCTCCTGCTCCCGGCCCGGCCTCAGCTCTGCTGGAAAAGAAATCTGGGCCACCCAGGCTGCGAACTCGCACCCTGCCCTGCTGCTGAACAAGCCGGGAATGAGGCCCAGGGCCCCTCGCTGTGTGGATTCTCTCTCGAGTGAGTCGCGGTGAGCGGTTCCAGTCTGTCCGTCAGACCTGGTTGACGCGGTTCTCAGCCGGCCCAGACTGTTGTGTGTGACGGGGCCTGTAGGGTCCAAAGGACAGTGGTGGCCCCGTGAAGCCATGCAGGAGAGAAGACGGAGCCCAGCGCCAGCTGTCCAGAAGCCGGACTACGGGGCTTTCCAGAAATGGCTGCATTGTGGGTGCCCAGGCCAGGCAAGCAGGGGTGTGCTGTGGGCCGGCGGGACACTTCCGGCGCTCTCCCAGACTCACGCAGCCCAACTTCTTAGCAAAGACAGCCCTCTGCGGTGACCTTGTGGGAAACAGAAGGTCCGCAGGGGAAACGGGGCACCAAGCCCAAGGCTGCACCCAGCTCAACACCACTGGGCCTCTGCAGGGAGAAGCTGGGTCACCAGACCCATACAGACCAGAGCAAAGGCTCAGAGTAGTTGGTGGCAGAACCCAGGAAGAGGAGCAGGTCCATGCCAAGCAGGCACGTGCCCCCCAGGCCCAGGGCACGGACAGCAGGCGCAGCCACAGCCAAGAAGTGCGGAGTTTCGTAGGGAGGCGGAGGCAGACCAGGCAAGAGTTCTGGACGTTCTCCAGCCTCATTCACCAGCAGGCAGAGTCCTCGCCACCAGGACAACGGGCAGTGTCAGTGATGGGCAGGAGGGCCTGAGGAAGAGCCTCTGCAACTTTTTACGCCACTTACCTTCCTTGTTTTAGCCACAGCCGCGGTGCTGGGACACTTGTTCCAACTGGGCCTGGCTCTGCTGAAAGGCCTGTGCTCCTGAGCCAGTGCTCCTTTAGCTTTCGTTTATTCCTGCTCTCCCTTCCCTTGGGTGTTGCAGTAATGCAGGCTCACACACGTGGTGGCACTTGGACCCTCCAGGCCACGTAGGTCCACCAGGTCCCTGAGCCTCACCCAGGCCCCAGGGTGTGCCAGTGCTGAGACGGGCTTTCTTCGGGAATCCCGGGACGTCGTCTTCACAACCCCTCGCTTCTGTGCCGCCTTGTACATGTGTGACTGGCATGGGGGGCATTCTCCCGCCCTCAGCATAAGTCACGAGGGGAGGAGGCGCATGCTGTGGCTGCCCCAGTTCTGGAGGAGCAGCTGCTCCAGGCCCAGGTGAGTGGAGAGCAAGCCCTTGAGTGGCAGCCTGCGAGCGGGTGTCCATGCAGGAGACTGTGTTCCTAGGGGATGGGGAGCCCAGCCCCAGAAGTCTCAGCCCTCACGGCGACTCATCTAAGGTGCCTCAGAAACAAAACCCAACCTGGTTTTCTGTTTTCTGATAAAGGATTTCGAAGTCTACTGGATTTTATCAGCCTTATGGAAGTTACTGTAAGGGATTCTTTTTTTTGGGGTGGGGGGTGGGGGGAACATCTGGTGATGGTCAAGGGTTACTCCTGGCTCTATACTCAGGAATTACTCTTGGTGGTGCTTGGAGGACCATATGGAATGCCAGGGATTGAACCTTGGTTGACTGCATGCAAGTACCCTACCCACTGTACTATTGCTCGAGCCCTTCTGTAATAGATTCTTTCTTAATTTTTTTGAGGGTGGGGGGCAAATCCAGTAGTACTCAGGGGTCACTTCTGAGGGGGCTACATACGGTGCTGAGAACTGAACCCAGGTTAGCCTTGCAAGGACCATCCCTCAGCCCCAGTAGGACTATCTTAACTCAAGCTGTTTGCCTTCTTCTAGCACTAGTCTCTGGTTGTTACTGGGTCATCAGTGACCCCACGTGCTCACTGAGACTTCCACGTGACAGACGGAACATCTGCATCCCAAGCTGTTCGGCAGAAAGGAGGGTGAGTGGGTGCAGAGATGGGACAGTTGTAGAGTTCGAGCTGTGACTTGACAGGAAGAGTAGATAGTTCCCTCTTTTGCCTGTGTCCTCCTACCTGACAAAAGTCAGCAAACTTCCTTCGGGTGTCCATAGGAAGTCATCTTTGGTCTATTGTAAATAGAAGAAAAATGCAAAACAGAGATGTGACTCAGCAGTTTTGAGGGAGTTTATGATGTATTGAGGAGTATCCACAAAAACACAAAACAGTTTTAATGAATTTCTGTTGAATATTCTCTATTCCAGGTAGAATAAAGGAATTTCCCAGTTCTCCTAACTGTTCCAGGTGACCATGCGCCTAAGTTCTGGCTAATGGGCCATGCATAAGTACAGAGAGAAAGTTCCATCCAGAAACATCCTTTGAGAGGGAGCTGAGGGAGTTGCTTGCCTCCTTTCTGCGGTTACCTGACTGTGGTCGCTGGTGAGTTCCTCTGGGCCAGGCGTGGAGGTTGTGGTTGAGGAGGGAGAAGCCTGTTCTCTGGGAGGCCCCTGTAACCCCTTAGGGCATCTAAGAAGGCCAGCGTACTGGGGCGACAAGCACGAATCACATGAGTTTCAGGTATGCCTTAATGCACGGTGCAGCTCATCGTAACAGAAACTCGTGCTAACGTACGATCCCAGCTACTTCAGTCCTTCCAGACTAGAGCTAGGGGAAAACAATGCAGAAGGCAAAACTGCAAAAATCCATGGAAGAAGCAAAGAAAACACAGCACATAATTGTAGTGCCGGGGCACGAGGGAAATAATAACTGAAAAAAATCTGTTTCATTGCTTTCTATACTCTGGTACTTTTTTTAAAATGAAAAATGACATTTTCCATCATTTTGAGAACATACTTGAACTCATTTTGGAAGTAAACTTTGAAGACACGGAGTTTATCACCTTGTTCCTAAAAGTGCTATTACTTCTTAGGTCTGTGGGAGAGAACAACGTGGAGTCCATCTTGCCTGAGCTCAGTGTCATTTTCTGCTGTGGAGCTTGAGCAAGTTGCTCTCTTCATCTGATCCTTGTGCATGATTTAACCTATTATGTGGCCTGATTAAACAAGGCAGTGGGTATGAATTCATAGTACCATGCATGCAATAAGTAGCCCTTGTTTTGTTCTAGAACCATATAATAACCACAAACTACATGGCATAGTTTTAGTTATCTAGGTTAACAAGGTCCCCTTGCCTGCATTGTGAGTAGCCGATCTCAGTGCTTTATAGCTAACCTACTTAAGTCTGCCTTAGGACTAGAAATATATTTGTCTCCAGGTTTCCATTAGTAGATAAGGTAGACACACATCACCAAGAGGGCAGGTTCTCCTGAGAAAGAGGGTCTTGCATAAAAACTATGATGGCTGTGTTCTGACACCAAGAAAACAAAAACATTTAAAATCTGGACTGTTTCAGAGACACAGACATTGTTCTAGCTGGCAGTGGATCAGGTGGCCAAAGATGATGTCCTGCTCTCCCAACACATTATTCTTCATCTTATTTTTTTATATTTTTATAAAGTGGTATAAAGTAAGTAAGTAAAGGCCCTCCCGTTGATCGTCGATTTGCTCGAGCGGGCCCAGTAACGTCTCCATTGGAGACTTTGTTGTTACTGTGTCTGGCATATCGAATACTCTCGGTAGCTTGCCGGGCTCTCCGAGAGGGGCGGAGGAATCGAACTCGGGTCGGCCATGTTGGCCACTTGTAAGGCGAACGCCCTACCCGCTGTGCTATCGCTCCAGCTTCGGCAGCACATATACTAAAAATTGGAACGATACAGAGAAGATTAGCATGGCCCCTGCGCAAGGATAAAGTGGTATACAATGTTTAAATACATTTAATATTCAAACACCAATCCCACCATCATTACACTGTCCCACCACCATATTTCCATGCCGAACCCCAAATCCTGCCCCCAAAGTAGAACTGAATTAGTTTACTGTATATTGCTTGTTATGAGTAATCCAATAAAAATGAGACAGAAAAGGTTTCTTAGAGGAAAGTGTGTGATTATTGAATTCCACCCAGGTGCCATTAAGCCCTTCTATAAGAGATTAGTAACAGGTTGCTGAAGGTAGAACCTTGTGTGCTTATATCCATATCTGTATAAATAAACTTCCCTCTAAGGTTGGTTGCCTTCTACTTTAATCCAGATCAAGCGTGGTGTGCTACTCTTGGTATATCCTTTGTGTAGCACTGTAGCACTGTCCTCCCATTGTCCATCGATTTGCTCCAGCGGGCACCAGTAACGTCTCCATTGTGAGACTTGTTCCTTTTTTGGCATATCAAATATGCCATGGGGAGCTTGCCAGGCTCTGCCCTGCGGGCAGGATACTCTCGGCAGCTTGCCAGGCTGGGCTCTCTGAGAGGGACAGAGGAATCAAACGCAGGTTGGCCGCATGCAAGGCAAACGCCCTGCCCGCTGTGCTATTGCTTCAGTCCTCCGAGGTGTAAAGTATGAGGTATTGCCACCGCCTGGTCCAGGAGTAGACATACTCATGGGTGAGGCTTGGGTGAGCGTGTTAGCCTTTGAGTTCTGGAGCTTTTTGGCTGCCGGGCTGTTCCCCCAGGGCCCCAGCCTCCCCCTCTCCCGGTTGCCCCAATGAACAGCCTGGTGCGGGTTGGCGGAGTGGCTATGGCATATCCCACTTTACATTTAATTTATTTGCTTTTTTTGGGTCACACCCAGCGATGCTCAGGGGTTCCTCCTGGCTCTGCACTCAGGAATTACTCCTGGTGGTGCTCAGGGGATCATATGGGATGCTGGGAATCGAACCCGGGTCGGCCGTGTGCAAGGCAAGCGCCCTACCCACTGTGCTATCACTCCAGCCCCGCACTTTACGTTTTAGATTGAAACCAGATTTGGGGGCAGCAGCAGAGCCCTTTGCGGAGGCTGGAGAAGCGCCAGGCTCAGGGGCGCGGGAGGGTTCCTGAGGGGGCCCAGGCTGGAGCCTCCAGAGCCCGCCAGCCGCTCTCCTGGCCAGGCTCCTCTCCCTTGACGCGAATCCCCCTCGCTCGGCTGCTCCTCCCTTACGGCCTCTGCTCTCTCTTGAACACGCTCTCCCCTCCTCCCTCCTCAGACCTTTCTAAGGAAGTCTCAGGAGAAACTCCCTCGCTTTACCAAAAACAAGCCCCCCAAAGTGCTAATCTGATACGAACTGGTACCACGTGCTGGAATGAAGGTGGGGTCACACGACGACCTTGTCCTGAGCAGCTCAGGCGCCATTGCCACAGGAGACCCGGTTGTGGCAGAAGCTGAGTCCCCCGCGCTCAGGGATGGGCGCAAACGGGCGCAAACGCCTCAGAGGTGGGGCCGCTGAGCGGCCTCCAGGCTCTGTCACCAGAGGCCGAGCGGCGGCCTCGGCCCCGGCGCCGAGGAACCACGAGGAATCGCGGCTCCAGCACGCGGCCGTCTCCTCAGACGCGGGAGGAAGTCGCGTCAGGACGCGCCTGTCTCCTCGTACTCCGAGGTGAGGCGGCCCGTGCCTGTCTCAGGGCCGGAAGTCGCGTCAGGACGCGCGAGGTGAGGCGGCACGCTCCTGGCTCCTCGCCGCCGGAAGTGACGTCAGAACGCGCCTGTCTCCTCGTACTTTGAGGTGAGGCGGCACGCACCCGTCTCAGAGCCGGAAGTCGCGTCAGGACGCGCGAGGTGAGGCGGCCTGTGCCTGTCTCAGGGCCGGAAGTCGCGTCAGGATGCGCGAGGTGAGGCGGCCTGTGCCTGTCTCAGGGCCGGAAGTCGCGTCAGGATGCGCGAGGTGAGGCGGCCTGTGCCTGTCTCAGGGCCGGAAGTCGTGTCAGGACGCGCGAGGTGAGGCGGCCTGTGCCTGTCTCAGGGCCGGAAGTCGCGTCAGGACGCGCGAGGTGAGACGCACGCGCCTGGCTCCTCACCCCGGAAGTGACGTCAGGACCGCCTGTCTCCTCAGATTCCGAGGCTCGCCGGCACGCGCCCGTGGCCTCCCGTCAGGATGTGAGGGACCCCGAGCCGGGAGCCGTGACTGCCCCCCCCACCCCCACCGTGTGGAGGTTGTGCCGGCGCCTGCGGTCCGGAGGCGACACGGCTGAGAGTCGGGTGGGCGGCTGGGCAGGGTCGGACTCAGGGCGCGGCCGTGGGCGTCGGGGCTGCCCTGGGCGCGTGGGGGGACCCCGGGCGGTTCCCAGAGGCCGCGCGTCACGGCCCGCCGGTTCCGTGGAGGAGGACGAGGCGGCCGTCCGGCCCGGTTCTGACGGGCCTGGGCGGGACCGGGCCGGGGTCCGCCCGCGAGGGGCGCCGTGTCGCTCTGCCGGACAAGGCGGGGTGCAGCGACGCTCGAGAAGGTTCTGGAGCCGAGCCCGGGGCCCCCGTGGTTTGGGCCCGCCAGTCCGCTGTATTAGTTTGGCATTCAAAATTCCGTGTGAACTGTGTTTTATCATGCTGCTCTTCCAGGTCTCCTCTGAACCTCTTTATCTGCTTCAAGAATCTTATCTGAGGAGAGCGACCGGTTGCTCCTCCTGCGGTGCTCAGGGCCCGCTCTGCTGGTCATGCACCATGTGCCCAGCCCGGGCTCTGCTCTTGGCGCCCCAGGCTTCCCACGTGGTGATGGGTAAACTGGTCATTGTGTTGAGTTACTGATTTATTATTATTATTATTTTTTTGCTTTTTGAGTCACACCGGGCGATGCCAGGGGTTCCTCCTGGCTCATGCACTCAGGAATCACTCCTGGCGGTGCTGGGGAACCATATGGGATGTCGGGGCTCGAACCCGGGTCAGCCACGTGCAGGGCAAACACCCTACCTGCTGTGCTATCGCTTCAGCCCTGAGTTACTGATTTTGCCTCCAAAATGTGAGTTATTTGCTATCTTCAGCACTTAGAAATGTATGTTATTCCATGAATAGTTAATAGCTCCCTATGGGTTTGCTGACTTAAATGTCTTGTAGTTTTTCCTTGTTGAGACTGTGACCTACAGTTCTGGTCCGTTCTGGTTTTTGTTGACTCCCATGCACAAGTTTGAATTTTGTTTATTAACAATGTGATTTTTAATAACAAACTGCTGATGAAAGAATCCATATTAGGGCATCAAATTTTTGCGTGCTTCAGCTAACTGGCAGCATTGCTTTCTGTAAAACTGCTTGGCTGCTTTGCACCTGGGGGAGAGGGGACTTGGAAAGTGAACAGGGCGTAACTTCTTTCTAAACCAAGTGTGACAGGATTCAGGTGTATTTACTGTTCCTGAAATGTATTGTCTCAGTAAAGCACCCTGCAGACTTGGGTAAAGGATAACTCAGGATGCGGGTGGTTGGGGGAAATTGCCCTTTCCTGGAGTGTATTGGCTCACTAAAGCACCCTGCAGACTTGGGTAACTCAAGAGGATGGTCAAGGGAGATTACCTAAGGCTTAATGATTCTGGCTATAACCTTGCTTGTGCTGACAATCGATGTATGTAAATGCTGATCTTTGAATCTATAGGCTAAGGAGTGAGGTACTTTCAAATGGATCAGTTAAGAAAGCGTATGTTGTTACAAATCTATTGGCTATGAAATGCGCGGGCTTTGCTGTAACGGCCAGTGAAGGCCTATATAAGATCCCCTTTGAAGAAGTTCGGGGCTCTCAGCCACTGCCCATTTTTGGGGTATGCTGCGGAGCCCCAGCATGCTGGTCTAAATAAACCCCGTTTTTACTCCTGCAGGAATTGTGTCTATCTGGTCTCTCCGCGTCTCCCAGGGCTAGGGAACTCCCGATCCCAACACTGATAGAACAGATATCCAATCATTGCAACTCTTGAACTGATCACTTGATCACTTGATCACTTCCCGTTAATTGCCGATTTGCTTGGGCAGGTGCCAGTAACGTCTCCATTTGTCCCTGTCGCGTGCTAGTGTAGCCCAATGGTGTCTGTTCGCTCTAGGAACATGAAGAGCCTCAAACTGATCGTTCATGATCTTGATGAAGAAGTCTGACCATCTGGTAGGTGGGATTCCATCCCGTGGAATCCAGTTGGTAACAGCCCTAGTCCACCGGTCGTCTTTAAATCTCATTACGTGACCAGCCCATCTGATTTTTGACACCTTGGCAAACGAGACAGCGTCCCTGATTCTTGATCGTCGACAGAAGTCTTGGACTGAAGTTTTTTAAATTATTGGCTTGCAGCGCCAGGGATTGAACCTCGGCCTCACACAGCTAGACAGGCTCTTCACCGTTGGGCCACATCCCCAAACTCTATCAGCAATCGGAACGAGTTTATTTGAGAGACTGTGAATATGGCAGAGCATTTCCCTTGCTCACTGTGAGGCCCTTTCCATCCCTCAAGGTGCAAAAGAAAAGTGGATCTGAGAAAAAATTCAGTTGGAATCAAGACATGTAAAACCGGAAAGATTTGGGGGCTGGAGTGAGTAGCAGGTGTAGGCCCTTGCCTTGCATAGGGCTGACCCATTTGGCCTCCTTCACACAGAGCCAAGAGTAGCCCCGGCACTGCTGGTTATGCCCCAAACCCCAGAGAGAGAAACTGGAGTGAGTTTATAGGGAAGAGAGAATCAGGGGCGCTGTTTGGCTGTGGCACTGTTTGATTTGGTGTAGTTCAGGCAGTTGCCCCTGAGGCTCCAAGGCTGTCTGTGCCGCGTGTCAGGTTGTGCTTGCTTTCTTGGGTTTACTGATTTGCCACTTGCTTGGCCTGTTGATCCTGCTAAGGCATTAGAATTGGTCCACTCTAAGGGCCTCCTGGTGTACTAGCCACAGCTCTTTCCGGATTATTGTTTTCTAAGGAATAAGTTAGTGTGTTAGACTAAAATTCTGAATATTTAATGTAAAAATTAGAATTTGAGGGAAAGTCTAAATTGAAACTTTTTATTGTTGTTGTTGCTTGGTGCGC